TCCTCCCGAGGAAGTGCACCCACTTCTTGAGCGAACCGAAATGGCGCACTTCAGCCTCTCTAATAAAAAGTCTTTGAGACACCAGTCTTCGGAACTGAGTCTGGGGTCATCTTTATAACAGCTACAAAGTTCTGTTGCTCCTGGGCCTTACGTATCAATTACTTTCCTGTTCTAACCAATACCAAATCATTTTTAAATGCTACTTTCATTGATGCCATTAGATTTCGTGTCACCTTTGTCTCAGGACACATCCTTCTACTCTCACTGAGGGAGCCATCCCAGAACAAAGATTTTTTTGTTAAAGAAAAAAGTTCAAAATATCTGCCAACTTGTCCACAAACCTAACAATATTCCATATCCATAGTTTCCCCCTTTGCAGAGACAGCAGGGAAATGCGTTTTCTCAACTCTCCTCCAGGGTCAAGCTTGATCACTACAATTGCAGAGAATTGAGTTTCTTATTTTCTTGTAAATTTAACCAGTACTAAATTATTTGAAGGATTACTGCTCATTGTAATGTAGTTTGAGGCACCCTTTATGTTATTTTTTATTATTTCCTGCAACTTCTAAGCATTTTGTTCCTCTAAGTCAATATTGTCACGTTGTTCTATGGAATAACTCCGTGGTGGTTGATCAGAGACAATGAAATACATTTTGGGGGGACTTTGGGATGTGAGGGGTTGATTTCTAGTTAATCCCTTTTTGGAAGCCATGTACATCTTGGGCCTTATGTGTTTGTTCAGTTTCCTTTTGAGCTCACCTTCTTGTCCTAGCATGAAGTGAGTCCAAACCTCATTTGGATGACCCTGCATACTGCAAAGATCCATTAGAGAAATGCTTTCACTTCCCTGAGTGTTTCAGGAAATCTTGGTGCCCACCTCCATCTGGGTTGCCCTATGCATTTGCAGGGATCCATCTGAGAAATATAGAGGTTGACCTGTGATTGTAGGGACCAGTTAAAGAATTGTTCATTCAGGATGGCTAGTTTGTCACCTGCCTGTGTGTAGGTGACTTCAAGTCAACCCCTGGTATCACATCCCTGTTGATAAATCTCCACATATGTGCCTTGGGACCTCATCTGGGACTGTGCTTGCACTCTAAGTGGAGAAACCTGGATTTTGTTTTCCCCTTATTCTTTGCCATAGCTAGTTATTTTAATTTTATTCTTTTCTATCTGCTTCGAGTTCAGTCGAGCCCTTATAAGCAGCAGGCAGGAGGCAGCCCGGGAGAACTTTGTAAAATGTTGCTTGTTGAATTTGTGTGTGTTTTCATCTAAGAACTAAGTAGACTTTGAATGACACCCAGGAGGCCACTTCCTCAGAGTTATATCTATGTAAAAAGTGAAAACCTACAAGAAAAAAAACCTACTAAAAATCACTCTGCCATATGAATTGTGCCAAGACCCTTTAGTCAAGGTCCTGGGGAGATGCTCTCCAAAGGACAATGGGGGGGGGGGGGTTCTCCAGGTCCCCAGAAGACTATCCACCAGTGGAGGAATGAACTAGTGTGCCCAAAGCCCCCTAAGAGATTTGTTGGAATAATTGACTGGGAAAGAAGATAAGGGGCTTGACGTTCACTTGATGAGATTACAGGGTGTGGATCTTTTAGACTGGAGTCTGTCCCTTGGAATTAGACCTGGATGTTGAACCCGTCATGGCGGAGGGTACAATGTGCCATGCTAGGATGCACTGAGTCACTCTGATCCTCATGGGCCATGCTGAAGATGATTGATGATGGAGAGTCAGGAGGTCCTCCCCCCTTCCATTATTCTACAGAAAGGCTCTCTGCTTTCTTTCCTACCATAGTAACATCTCTCAAATACTCTCCCTTGCCTCCTTTGGCTCTGCCTCTCCCCTGGTGCAGGTCTTCATCACCTCTTACCTGGATTACTGTTAACAGCTGCTGGGGGTCAGCCTACCTCAGTTCTCTCTCCACTCCAATCCATAATGCATTCAGCCTCTCAAGTGATTTTCCAAATCCATGTCTGATGTCACCCCTCCCCCAACTCAGCGAATTCCAGTGGCTCCCTCTTACCTCTAAGATCAAACATAAAATTCCTAACCTCCCTGTCACCCGCCTGTCCGGTACTCTTACACTTCACTCCGCTCCATGTATTTTCCAATGCAGGAAACAAAGGCCTCTTTCCTGTTCCTCACACAGGACGTTCCATCTTCCAACTGAACATTTTCACTGGCTGTCCCCCCAAGCCTGGAACTCCCTCCATCCTCATCCTGGCTTTCTTCAAGTTCCAGCTAACATCCCACCTTCTGGAAGAAACCTGTCCCAGTCCTTCTTAATAATCTTAGTGCCCTCCCACACAGACTAGGCCTAATTTATCCTCTGTACATCTTGTTAGAACTTGGTGGCTTCCCTTTGGTCTCACCCATTAGACTGTGAGCTCCTTACGAGCTAGGATTGGGGTTCATTTGTTGGCCTTCCTTTGTATCCCCGGCTCCTAGCATGTGTGCCTGGCACACACATAGCTGTCACTTTAAGAAATGCTTGATGACTTCTTAACTTGCAGTTCTGTTCCAGTACTCTCTTTTCCTCAGACTTACAGACTTTCTGGGACTTTTCCTCCTCCCCTCCCGACTCTCTAATCTCTCCAAGGCAATGGAAGCTTGCAGCAGAAGTCCATAGCAGCTGCAGACTGGACCATGAATCCCTAGCTGCCCTCTTCTGCCTTTTTTTAGTTCCTTTTCTGAGGTCTGCTGCTGGTGATTCTGAGGAACAGAAGTTTGTGGGTCAAGAGTTTCTGAGTGTAGGATTTAGGCATCAAACCAGGCTCCAAAAATCACTGTCATCCTCGACTCCTCACTCCCATTCACCCCCATATCCAGCCAGACCTTGTTTCTACTGTCACAACAGCTCTGCGCTCCCAGAGCTGCCATCTTGGGGCAGGCCCTCATCACCTCATGCCTGGACTGCCACAGTACCCTTCTATTTCGAGTCTCCAAGCCCTCCTCCTCTCAGCTACTGCAGTGATATTCTGAAAGAATGGGTCACACAAGTTACTTGGAGAGTGTGGATGCAAAGTGAGTGCAAAAGGGCCTAATTCCGCAGTCCTTCTCACAAAGCTGTCTTGACCTTCCAGGAGTAGTTAGGTGGCTTATTAGAGATGGTTTGTTTTCTGTGTACTTGCATGACTTTGGGTCCTTCGCAGCAGCCTTCTGTGAAGTGAAGTTAAGACTGTCCCATACCCAATATCCTTTGTGGGAATGGTCCCTGATACCCACCTTTTAGGGGAAACCCTGGATATGAGCCTTCCTTATGATAGAGCACTGTTTCTGAGACTTTTCCTGGAAGGATATAGGTGGAGGCAGGCCTTGAGACAGACTCTGGCCATTTCTGGATTCAACCCAGCTCTTTCTCCCGCTCGCCCCAGAAGAAAGCACCCAGGTCCGAGTGAGTCCAGTCTGCTTTACTGCGGTCCCCTGGGCTTTGGGGGCCCAGCTAGAAGGTAAAGACACTGTGGGGCTGAATAACAAACATTCCCCAATCTTTTTACATCCGCACTATCAGGACTCAAGTATAATAGCCAAGGGATTGTCAAGGGCTTGTACCCTCCGGCCACAGGGTAGGCTTCTGTCCCAGATCCCTGTCTTCTCCCTTAGGGAGGCTGGTGCCTGATTCTTGAACTCAATTTCCCTAACTTGAAAACTCTCAAACTCAGGATTACCTGTAAACTAACCCTCGAGCCTAGAAATACTCGTTCTTAGGAGTGCCAATCGTTGCCTGTGCTCTGAAGGAAAAACAGAAAGAAGGCAGACACAGATGGAACACTGGGGCTAGAAATGCCCCTCTCAGGTTCCCCAAGGCAAACCCAGACTGCTTTGGCTTGTGTTTCTCCTGCAAGTAGCAGTTTTCTGCTGGGGGTTGGGGTGGGGGGAGAAGAAAGGTGGTCAGGAAGAAAGAGGGAAACATCCCCCTTCAATAACTGTGCACTTTGGTATGGAAATCTGAGAGAGAGAGAAAGTTCAGGACAAGAAAAAGGATGGGAGGTTTCTTGGGTGGCTCTTATAGACCTAACTCCTGTGACAAGGGTCATCAGTCATCTTGGAGGCAGCTCCATTCACTGGGGGCCAAATGAGAGAAGCTCCCTGTGTCCTCTCAACAAGGAGGTAGGGCTGAGCTTCTGACAAAGATCCAGACCCTGTAATCTCATCAGGCGGACTGAGAGCGACTTAGCTAATAATAATAGCTAGTATTTGTCTAGTTTTAAGGTTTGCAAAGGCTTTACACATATTATCTCATTTGATCCTTACAACAACCCTGGGAGGTAAGTGCTGTTATTATCGCCATTTTACAGGTGAGGAAACTGAGACAGGCAGAGGTTAAATGTTTTGTCCAGAATCACACAGCAACTATGTGTATGAGGCTGGATTTGAACTCAGGTCTTCCTGATTCCAAGTCCAGAACTCTTTTCACTATGGTACCTAATAAATTAATCAGGGTGGTTTCCCCTCAGTCAGCATTCCTCCTCCTGCATCCTCCCATTCTGCTATTATTTTATTTAACAATTTTTCATCAGTATTCAGTAGTGATATTGGATGCTCTTTCTCTGCTTAGCCTTCCCCGGTTTCAGTATTAGACCATATTTCTCTCTGAGAAGGAGTTAGGTTACTTTGTCAATTATAGAGAATAATTTTTGTAGCATAGGTATTTCTCGGTAAACATTTGATAAATTCCACTCGTAAATCTATCTAGACCAGAGTTTGTTTGGGGGCTTTTTCCTTTGGTAATTCCTTTATGGTTTTTTCAGTTTTATTGTATGATATTGGGCTGTTTAAGATCTCTAGTTCTTGTTTGGTAAATGTGGGTATTTTAGATTTTTGTAGGTAATCATCCACATTTGCTTAAAATTCTTGGCTTTGCTAGAACATAACTGGGTATAGAAGGTTCTGATAATTCTTTTTCTTTCCCTCTTGTGTGTGTTCACTTGGTTCATGAATTTTATTTTCATCATTTGGTTTTCCTGTCTCTTGAAGTTATTTCTCATTGCATGAGCTCCATGAGGTTGACAGCCAAACCCGGTACTTTCAGGAGAGCATTTCTGATCTGCGAACAGAGAAGGAGGGACCATCAGGGTGGAAGCCTGCTCCCCCTCATTCTCCTGAACACTTGGCTCAGTATCAAATAGGGGCTAGCCTGGGGATGTGGGGCAACCATACTATACAGAGAGTGGAAAAAATAGAATCTTTGAGAAAAACTAGGATAAACAAAGCTGGGATTATGGGTAAGAAACAGGATGACAATCTGCAGGCATTTAAAACTGAAAACTTCTGGGGCTGGGGAGGAGAAGCAAGGAAGAAGGGCAGGAGGGGCCTTGATAGGAAAATCTAGATCTGAAATGGTAGATCTGCAGCCCAAGGACTTCACCTAGTTCTCTAATAACAAAAAGAGAAGTTGGGAAAGGGGGATTTCGCCATCCACAGTATACAGGCTGTTATTGAAAGGCCTAAAACGATATCAAAATTTAGGGAGACCTAAATCAGGTCTGATTAGGTGTTCTGACCAACCAGCATTCTATCCAGGTAATCCACAAATTCATTGTTTGGTGAAATCATTCATCACCAGCCTTTGTCTGCGACCCTGGGTGTAAATTCTGGCAAATTAAAGCTTACAAGTACCAAGAAGCTAGCGCTGACTTGCCCAGAATCTCAGAATTGGGAAAGAGAGCTCAGGGGTCATCTAATTCAGTCCCTACCCCTCATCCCTACCACAGTACATCTGCCAAGTGGTCATCAGGTCTTTGTTTGAAGGTATCCAGTAAGAAAAAGCGTGCTGCTTCCCAGGACAGCCCATTCCGTGAAGGGGTAAGCTGGACCTGTTAGGAAGTTTTCCTTCCATCCAACCTAAGTTTGCCTCTTTGCGGCTGCTGCCCATGGCTCCTCTTAGACCACACAGAACAATTCCAATGCCTCTTTTCCTGAGGACAGTCCTTCAGATACTTCATACAGCTATCACACCCTGCCTGAGGTTTCTCTTTTCTGGGCTAAACACCAAGTTCCTTCAACTGATCCCCCTAGGACACAGGCTCTAGGCCTTTCCCTGTTCTGGTCGCTGTCTCCTGGATGCTCTGTTTGCCAGTGCAGTTCCTAAAATGTACTGTCCAGGACAATACTCTCGATGTGATCTGGCCAGGGCACAAAGCTGCGAGAGGCGTGCTCCCAAAAGAGCCCATGGAACAGTCTCCCCTAAAGAAGCAGTGAGAATCTGGCCCAAGGATCATTGAACATGAGACTTAGCCAGGATGATTCAAAGAACTTCCCAGAGATTTATACACAAAGCTCCTTTACCAAGGAAAGAAGGACAGCACCCAGATGGGAAAAATGTCTTAAAAGGACTAGAGCCAAGGTCATGCCAAGGCAGTGAACACAACATCTCTAGTCCTCACATCCCCTTATCAGGTCTAACTTCTTGGGATATCCTGGAGGGCTTTACAAACAGCTACACGTGCCTCCTCCATGATTTCCTGAGATACATTTAATCATCTGTTTATATCCACCATTCTTCCCAGTTTTCCTGTTGCTTTTGGAGCACTGCCATCCTTCCAGTCATCTGAGTCCATAGCTTTGTATCCTCCTCAATTCTTCCCTTTCCCTCAGGCCCCTCATGGAGTCATCTCATTCATTTTACCTCTGAAGTAGCTCTCTGAGCTCACTCAGCCTTTGCTGTGCTCAGGCCATCATCATCTCTCACTTTGGACTATTGCAGTGGGCCCCTACATTGGTCCCCAGGCCTCAAGTGGTGTTACCCTCTTTCTCTTACACACACCTGCCATACTGATTTTCCTAATACACAGGTGTGACTATGTCACCTCCCTTGATTTGGTGAAATCACTTAAAAATCTTCAGTGATTTCCTGTAGCCTCTATAATGAAATACAAAATCCTCATACAGACATCTAAATATCCCACAAATTTGGCCAATCACATGTCCTCCACTGTCCTGCAACTGGCTGGCTCTTTCTTCCCAATTTATAGGATTCCATCGCCTACTTCTGTGCCTCGATACAGACGGCCCTCCACCGTCTAGAAGGCACTCCTTCCTTCCTCCTCACCACCTCTTGGAATCCCTAGCTTACTTTGAGACAAAGGTCTTCAGATGCCACCTCCTTCCAGAGGCCTTTCTTTATCTTTCATTTGTTTGTGTTTTCTCCATAAATCAATCAGTCCACAAGCATTTTAGGCACTGAGGGGACAAAGACAAAAAAAAGAAAGCATCCTTGCCATCAGGAAAGCTTATATTCTACCTCAGAAAACAGCATGTACAGATGTTGACGTCTCTACAAAGTAAATATACAGCATTCTCAGGAGACAGTGCCAGGGGCAGAGGGAGGGAATCAGCACTCAAGCTGACCTTTGAAGGAAGCTAGGGAATGTTAGCAGTAAAGGTAAGGAGGGAATCCATTCCAGGTAGGTTGGACAGCCCATGCAAAGTCATGGAGACCACGGGTGTCATGACCTGTGTGAGGAATAACACGGAGGCCAGCTTATATGGCCATAGAGTATAGGAAGCGGAGTAACATATTATAAGGCTGGAAAGGTACGTTGGAGCCTGATTGTGAAGGGCTTTAAAATAAGGACAGTGGAGTCTGAATTTGACTCTGTATGCAATAGGGAGCCACTAGAACTTTTTGAGCAGGGGAGTAACATGGCTACAGCTCTGCTTTAGGAATATCCCTTTGGTAGCTATATGGAAGATGCACTTATGGGAAAAACTGGAGGCAGGAAGACTGGGAGGCTATTTATATAGTCTAAGTTAGAGCTGATGAAGCCCTGCACTAGAGTGTGGCCATGTGAGAGGATGCAAGAGATGTTATGGAGGAAGAATCAACAAGGTTTAGCAACTGATTTGATTGGGGGGGGGGGAGGCCACAGGGGCAAGGGAGATGAGAGGTCTAGGATGTGTCCAAGGCAGCAAACCTGGGTGACTACAATGACGGTGATGCCCTCAACAAATATACAGAAGTATAGGGAAGGAGGAGGTTTCGAGGGAAAGATTATGAATTCTGTTTTCGGACACGTTGATTTTAGAATGCCTACAGGAAATCCAGTTTAAAATGCCCATTGGAAAGTTGGCAATGTGGCACCAGGGCTGGATATTTATTTCTAAGGAGTCATCTGTGTAGAGATGATAATTGAACTCATGGAAGCTGATAAGGAGGGAGGGGGAGAGAGAAAGAAGAAGGAAGAGAGAGAGAATGGTGCACCATGCACGTTAGAGCACTCCCAAAGTTAGGGGGTGGGATATGGATAATGATAAGGAGAATGAGGAAGAGCACTGTGACAAAATCAGAGCAGACAAATACCCAGGAAGAGGTTGGTCAACTGGCTAATGACAGAGAATTGGAGAAGGATGATGATGAAAACCATGAGCAATCAGGAGATCACACGGGACTTTAGAGAGAACCGTTTCAGTTGAAGAATGAGATATGAGGTCCAGTTGCAAGAGGTTGAGAATTGAGTTAGAGAAGAGGAAAGGGAGATAATAAAGGAGTGTAAACAACAGCTTTTTCCAGGAGCATTGCTACAAGAAGGAAGGGAAATCTAGGGAGGGAGCCAATAGGACAGTCAGGTCAATTTCCCTCGAGTATTTACGTTTTTATTATTTTGTATGTACCTACTCAGGTGGAATATGAGGTCCTTTAGAGCTCGAGGGTTTCATTTCATTGCCTAGCGCAATGCCTTGCATGAAGCATGCACCTAATAAAGGCTGAATTGAAGCTGTCATTCATTCAGTCATTCAGCCACGAGCTTTACAAGGGGCCTGCTGCTTTAGAACACACCTGATCACTGCGAGGGACTCCAGATCTCAGTCGGGTCGCAAAGTGTTCACAGTTATTGTTGAGGAGGTTGTAGGGAACCATCTTTCCCACCAGTTTCAAAGCTCGATGCACGATCTGGCTAGGTGGCAGTGGCGGGTCACTGTCATCATACTTATTGTTCACTTGGTACCTGTTGCTTCCAACCATCACATAGAGCAGTTCTCTCTTAAGTGGCGCAACATCGGCAATGACTGACGGAGGACCATAGGATCAAAGATTTAGAGCTGATAAATGACCTTAGAGGTTATGTGCTCCAACCCCCTCATTTGCAAACAAGGAGACTCCACCAGCATATTCGCCTTTCATTCCAAAAAGAAGATGCCTACAGTGGACTCCATCTTAAGCAGGACATCCAATGGGAAGCTGGTGATGGGCCCCACCCTGGGTCAGGCCCAGTGGTCCCTCCAGCCCCAAGTTTCTGACAGTGGCACAAAGGTATCATTTGTGGGAGAGTATCACTATCCTCCCTAACAAGTCCCTGAGTTTTGAGCAAACTCAAAAATGACTGGATTTGATGAATCAGCTTCAATAACCCAATTATGATTCTGAAGTCCATTAATCTACTTAAATTCTTATACATAAATAAATGTGAGAACTGACAATATCTCTGCTTGGAGTAGCACAAACCAGACAAGGGACAAGCAGTGCGGAATGTCTTCTCCAAAAATTTTAGCAGGGCTCTTGTCCAGGATTAGCAAATGCTGTCCCTTTACCAAAAACAGTGGTGTGGTTCTTACTTTACTGGGAGGGAGGGAGCATCAGGGAGAAGGTGGCAGTAAGGAATGAGAGTGTGTGGTTAAATGAAAGATGTCTGTCAACAGAAGATGGCATACCATCAGCTCGGGTCAGCAAGGATGTAGTAACCACTCAGTCCAACATCTTATCTCTCCCCATAGCAGAGACCATGGGACAGCCCATGCTGATGTAGAGGGGGGAGGGGAGGAGATGGAGGAAGAGGGCTAGGCTGTGCTCTTTCTGCTCTGTTGAAGGCCTGCAAGTATGTCCAATGCCTTCTATAGTCTGTGCCCTTGGGTAAACCCCTAATCACCCAAACTCATTAAGGCAAGGGTATATCATAAGAAAACCTTGCAAGGGCTAGCCATTGCCAGTAGATATAGTAAACCACCCCACCTTGAACCCAGCCTTTTGCCTACACACAGCCAAGCCCTATCTAAGAAGTAAAGGAGAGAAACTTCTTACGTGGAGGTACCAGGTGGACAACACAACCATAACCCACATAAACAGCCCAATGTGAATAGCCTCTTCGGAATATTTCAATCAGGTCTCCAGGCTTAGGCTCTTGCTATAAAACCAAAAACAGGGCCGGGTTACACAAGCAGCTTTTGGGAAGGAGGGATAGACCGATAAGCTAGTCCACACCCAAAGGAAAGTGGCCAAGCTAATGAGGGGACTGGGTTCAAGGCCATAAAGAGATTGGTAAATAGCACTAGGATAGAGAGATGTAGTCGAGGCAATCCTTACTTCTACTATCTGAAGGGCTGCCATGAGAAAGGGTAGCCTTGGGGCAGCTGGGTGGTGCAGTGGATAGAGCACTGGCCCTGAAGGCAGGAGGACTTGAGTTCAAATCCGGCCTCAGACCAGACACTTGATACTTACTAGCAGTGTGACCCTGGGCAAGTCACTTAACCCCAATTGCCTTTAAAAAAAAAAAAAAAGAAAAAAAAGGGTAGCCTTGTTCTGCTTGGCCACAGGACTGGGTAGCAAATAGAGGCTGACTGAGGCTGGGTGTAAAGAGAGACTTTCTAGCAATGAAAACTCTCCCAAAGTAAAAGAGGCTGTCGTGGAAAATAGTGAGGTCACCGGGAGGACTTGAGTCTCAGCTAGAGTGAATTAGCTTTTAGAAAGAGTATTTGCTAAGTGGTTTAGTAAGAGCAATTGGTGTATAGGGCATTTACCTCCGGGCCTGGGGCATGTTCTCCCACAGGTATACATAGAGATCCAAAGAAAATGTGCTTAAACTTGGAATTTGAAGGTGGTCAGAGATGCATGCAACATCAGCAATGACTAACAGAGGACCATAGGATCAAAGATTTAGAGCTGATAAGTGACCTTAGAAATTATGTGCTCCAACCCCCTCATTTGCAAATGAGGAGACTCTACCTTTCATTTCTGCCTTTCATTCCAAAAAGAAGATGCCTACAGTGGACTCCATCTTAAGCAGGACATCCAATGGGAAGTTGGTGATATGGGTCCTATCCTGGGTCAGGCCCAGTGGTCCCTCCAGCCCCAAGTTTCTGACAGTGGTACAAAGGTATCATTTTATAGGAGAGTATCACTATCCTCCCTGACAGCCAACTCAAAAATGGTTGGATGTAACCAAACAGTTTCATGAGTGCCCAAAGGGTCAACTCACAACTTTGGGGTACTGGAGGTCCTTTCTTGAGTCTATCACCAGCTTTCTTTTCTGGTTCAGAGTCATGTACCTTGAAGCCCCCTAACCTTCAGGTGGCTATTTTTCTGTACTGGGCTGTCTATAGTTTGTCTATATTTGTTCTTGTATATCTCTGCTCCAGATCGTTCCCTTCTCGTCAGTGGAAGTAAGGGGAGAGAGACAGAGAAACTCTCTTCTTCTCTCAGGAAGTTGGCTCCAATCGAAATCCTCAGAGACAGAACTGAAATTTTCCACTGCTATGCTGGACCCCTCTGGTCTGAATTCACCCATAGACTGACTGCTGTACATAGGCTCAATGGGTATGACTGATCCTCTTGGCCAGTCATACTGCTTTTTTTTTTTTAACCTAGTCAAAGAAACCCACAGATCACCACGTGTACTGTAAACCATCATTTTTACACATTTAAAATTTGGTCTCTTTATCAATTCATTGAGAAAGGGGAGGCCATACCTTGAATACTTAAATATTTAAATACTGACTATGTCTTGGTAGGTTGACTCTCAGCTATTTTATGCATTTTTAGTAGAGAAATTGAACAGAATTTATCTTTCTTTCATTTCCTCCTGCTTTTGGTTAATACTATAGAAAAACTGATGATTTTTGTTTAGCAAACCTGGAAGCACTATATAAATGCTAGCTAGCATCATCATTCATTCATTCCGTTAAGCATCATTTGTTAAGAGCCTGTCTTTTATGACCACCCACCTGATTGCTGCCGGGTATCCCATATCTCAGGTAAGTCAGGAAGTACTCCTGGATGAGTTTGTAAAACACTTCATTGCCCACCTCTTTGAAAGCCCTTTGGACAATCTTATTGGGTGGTAGAGGCTGATATTTGTCGTCATGTTTGTTATTGACCTGGTATTTGTCATCCCCAGCCACTACAGAGAGCCGTTCCATCTTCACCAGGGCTCTATCCTTCCAGGCTGACTTCTTGTTACCTACACCAACACTAGCGTGTTGGTCTTTTAGATTTAAGGGGGGGAAAAGGACAAGTTCAGTGAATCTGTAAGCAGTCCATTTATAGGTAAAGCCCAGCAGTCCTTCAGTCAGTCCCATGCTCCTGACAGAGTCAGAAATCGGTGAGGGACAGTCTGGCTGTCCTGACTAACATCAAACTCAAGTACATGGAAATATTCCCAAACAGTTTCAGTAACCAAGTCAACTATGAAACTCTCGCTATGAACGAACTCAGAAAATTTTGAGAGAGCCTTAACTGACTAGTTTTCTCTAGGGGAGTGTAAACGGTGACATAATAAACAAATGTCACAAAGGCCCTCAGACCAACTTTTTAAAGGCGGGGCTGATCAAGCCGGAAGATGGCTTCCACTACACCCCCACATTGATACACAATGGTTCCAGTTCCTTCTCCCATCTGTTGTAGGCATCTCGTCAACCACGGTCATGAATGATCCTTTAAGCACCAACTCCATAGCCTTTTTGCCTCAATAGAAGATCCCTCCCCGTTGCCTTTCTCCTCCTGAGCTGGGCCTCTTACTCTAACAATTCAAAGAGGTGGAAAAGTGCTCAAAAATTCCAATGGGTGGGTGGGTTGTTAAGGGAATATTACTTTCCTTCAATAATGGCGTCATTGCTGGCCCCCCACAACTAATGGCACCAGGTCCTAGAAATGTTGCTGTGCTACAGTAGGCTTACTACCTTTCCCCCAGCCCCAGCCTTCGTGTAACGCTGTGGTATGGGTCCGTATTCCTTGTCTCTGCTGCAGAGGTGTTGATTTGGTGGGAGGGAGGACAAATGCTAAGCTGTATTTTTTCCATACTGTTGAAAGTACACTCAGTGCCCTCTGAATTCACTACGCTGTCATGTCTCCTGACATCCTGACCCCTTTAAGGATCTCTAATCAGGAAACCTTGCTGATGCTGGTCGTTGCTAATAGGTATCATGCACCACCCCACCTAGACACCCAGCCCCTGGCCTGCACACAGCCAAGCCACGTCTAAGAAATACAGGAGAGAAACTTCTTACGTGGAGGTGCCAGGTGGACAACACAACCATAACCCACATAAACAGCCCAGTCAGAATAGTTGGTTCGGAAAATCTCGAGTAGGTCTCCAGGCTTGGGCTCTCGCTGTAAAACCAAAAACAGGACCAGATTAGAAGCAGTTTGGAAGGAAAAGAGGGATACTCTTGAAAAGCCG